ACAGCTCGAGTCCGTCTCCATAGTGAAGAGTTCCCACTCGCCAGGCTCTTTCCGGTCAAAGACACAATCCCCACTCGCGCGAACCTGGAGGAAGCATCCGTTGTGACCGGACTGAATGGCGATCTTGTCGTCGCGAACACGGCGTAAAACCATTTGCTCGTAAACATCGCGGTTGTCAGTCAGACGGCGAGCCTTCTTGGAACCAAGCGGGTTCTGCAAGCTTTTCCCCTTGCAGATTGACTGGAGGATCACAGGGACGTCGAACGGAATCTCGGTTAGATCCATGGTGAAGTCTTGGATGTACTGGGTGTTGGAATTCTGAATGCCAAATGCGATGAAATGCTGAACGTCGCTTCCTAAAATGATCTTCTACGTTATACAAATGGATAGACGGAACAGCTTGCGATCTATGGAAGAATGATGATACCGTTGGCAGACGGCCTTTAAATTCAGTCGGTTTAGTAAAACCTATCGAGTTCTTACCCGCAAATATTATCAGGAAGTACGTAGTGACATTATGTCTTAAGACTGCGAAAACGTGCCCATTTAAATAACCGCACTACCTAGAAAATGTTGAAGCTTACCGAATTCGTAGACTTGCTTTTTATAAGGTCCCTTGATTATAACTGTCTAACTTGAAACTTGATACAAAGTGATGCTAGAAAAACCAGTCAAATGTTGCCAAAATTAAAGGTTTTACCCACTGCTAGTGGGAATCAGTGATATGTATCGACATGAAATCACGTGCTCGTCCGTTCTAAGCCGGAAATCAGCCTCTGAAAGGGTCACAACATGAAGAAAATTCCTTAAATTTCTAGACTTGAAAAATTTCATTCGAATCCCACTAAATTCCAGGTATGTGCACCACACCAACATGCTCAAGTGATGCTGTATTAGCCAAGGGAGGTTAATCTGTAGCCTTCGAAGTAGCAACAAATTTAGCGCACGATATCCCGCGGATCAAGCAATTGGCGATATTTTTTATTGGTGAACTTGATGACACGGTAAGTCCGCACATCGAAGCACATATTTCGTTCGACAGGGAGTATTCCCACTTGGTTTTCATTGCCGACAGCTCATTTGTACCAATTTCTTTCGGATAGAAAGTGCTGGCCGAGAGGATTGTCAGATAGCGGCACTTAAAAAAAAGCTTTGTAGCCGTCCTAAAGAAGGGGATTTCTTGCTCGCACTGCGACTCGGGTAATGATCTCCTGATGCTCTAGTAGTTGCTGTATTTCTTCATCGTCTGGAGATTCAAGCTCGTGAATTCCTTCTTTAATTTCCGAAAAAGCTTGAAATACTGATAATCCACGTGCCGCGTGAGTGCTTCACCCGTCAGTAGCACCCGACTATTATGGGGATCTATCAAACCCAATAACCTCTGTGCAGCCTTATCGCTTCTTTCTGCTTTGGCCATAATGATAGTTCTCGCTGTCATCTCTGCGGCCGTGGCCCCTCTCGATACAACCACTTCGGGGGCATTACCGATGTTCATCTGCCTAACAATCAAGGTGTCGTGCATGTTCACATAGTGCTTGTAGACTCTGAAGGCATCAGTCGCCTCTACCTTGTTGAGCTCATTCGCCTGTGTAATCCGGTTCAAATTGAGTTCTTTATGCCAGGCATCGAACGTGGTATAGTCTTTCTGGAGCCAGCCGATGAGGCGATACTCTTCAGATTTGTCAGCAAAGTACGAATAGTATTTGTAGTTCTTGTGGGCCTTGATATCTGCGTCGTCAAGTCCATCCAGTTTCAGTGCCGTCTTGACATACTCTTTGGACATTTTGGTCTCAAGCCATAATTGCACTTTTACGTACTTCCACATTGTCTTAAACATATTACCCCTCTCTTCTGAGTTTTCGTTGAGTGTAGTCTCACTCCGCAGCGATCGCTCCTCGGGAAACATGATCGGGTGAGCAGAGGCGCGTATCTCAGGCGATTGCAATGTTGAGGAGAACTTGGAAGACCCGGCTGCCGTGCTGGCAAGGAGAACAACCAACATTATGGTTAGAGCTTGGATGGGGTGCATGACTACAACGCTCCGAAAGGTAAATTGCGAAGTGACACGCAATATATGCAACATAACTTGTAATTGCTGAGTGACTGTATAGCGTCGTAGACGGCGAGCCCACCGTTGTTGTATTCGTACAATCTGCCACCGTAATCGTCGTTATTGAACACGCAAATCTGCATTGATTGAGATTCAAGTGATTTGAACAAAGCTCTGAATGTCAAACGCCAACTTTAATTAGGGATGGACAGCCCTCAACGGATTAATTCCACGGCTCGCTCTATGTTATCTCGCTCAATATTCAGCTGACATCAAAATGTTAGCTGAACGTTGAGCAAAAGCAGGATGTTTAATTCAATTTTGACAGCGGATAGCTAAGGACTAACGGCAGGATTGCTACCCACGCAATTATGTATGTTTTGGACAAATATCTGGAAAATACCATTGTGCATTTATACCCAATCGAATGAGATTATGAGTCTTCCAGCAATCTGATTGGTTCCACTACCTGAGGGTTCCCTTCTTCGTGTAGTAGCTATTTTTGCATGGGAGGCTTGCATAACTTCTCGAAAGATAATTAGGTATGCCGTGCGCCTCCTTATGAGTATATGCAGGACTCACTGGGTTCCCCGGTTTGGGGCTGACGCTTCGAATGTAGCTTGGGAGTTGTGCTGCATGTCAAAAAAAATCGTTGAGCTGTCGGTCAGCAATGAGTGTGGCTACTTGGATCCGTTTTCCCTTTTTTTT